ATATTGAATAAGAATTTTGTAATGAATCCTGTAAGTGATGAATTATAATGAGGCTTTTCATTGTAGTTCCTTTTTAGGTGTCATTAAAGCAACACAACAGAACATTATTCTATAGAAGTAATGTGCTATTTAGAAATGGATTAAATATTATTCTAGGTTGAATGTTGTGGAAAGATTAAGGGTTGAACTAGGTGAGCACCATATGAAAACTTTTTAAAAGTGGTTGTTTGTGTATTTGTTTGCAATAATAACAGGATTCTGACAGCAGAACCAGGTGATAGTTTACATTTTGCAAAATGCAACGAGTTGGAACCTTCTCAATGCATCACTGCTGGGGAGCACTGTCAAGACAGGACAGGGCTTTGTGCTTTGTTGCTCACCGGTCTCTCTCTGTATCACAACCGTCCATTTGTTAGATTACATATTTTACACTGAAAAAGACCTAATATATACCAAGGTCATGGAAGATAAAGTTAAAAGATGCTTGGCTAAGATTTCTCTATATACTCCTATTATGAAAGATGACATAATTTGTTCATAATAGAGCAATACAAAAGCTTTGATTTGCCCTTGTCTCTGCTTTGAAACAGTTGTGAAAAATAGGCCATTTCATTTACTCTCAATTGGTATTGTTTTTTAGTTCTTATTTAGCAACACATGCAAAATAAATCCTTGGCCTTAAATATTAATGAGTTTATAGCATTTTGCCAAAGTATTTGTTACTTGTTCTTCCTTGAAGTAGATAATGGTGGGCTCCAGACTTCCATTCTGACATAAATGCTTCATACAATTATGCACAAATAGATGTATTGGGGAGCACGGTGGAATCATACATATTTCTCAGAATCTTCATCAACATGTGTACTAAAACATAGTTATAGGTTTGTCCAATACCTTAAAATGTCACATCTATGGTTTGACTATATTGTAAGTTGTTTGACTATATTGTAAGTTGTTGGTTTCTTTTTAAAGACAATCCCTAACTATTTACAATGTGCTATTTTTTAAGTAACACATATTTTTTGCTTTATTTGTTTTTTCATTGCTTTTGTATACTCACCATGTATCAGAAAAATGTCATCTCTCATTTAACACGATGCACACTCATCCTATGTAGCTCTGGTTTAAAATGATGAACCGTCATCCTAGGTAGCCACATATACCTAGTAGGCATGTACTTCTCTGTTAACAAATCTTATTTCTTTATAAACAACAAACTATATTGAGAATTGCAGCATCTGAGATGTGGTTGGGCAAGGTGACCTTTAAGGTCTCTACAAATCCTGAAATATAATGTTTCTGAGATTTGATTTTTTTTTTGCTGCCCCCTATTTCCCCCTCTCTCTGACAGTAACATATTAAATCTCTGGAAGCCCTAAAAAATGCAATTTTGTTTTGCAATAATTAGCTTTGAAACATAACCTTCACAGAAGTATTTTATTATCATATAGGAGTCCATTAAGGTATAAAATCAATACTTTAGTTACTCAGTGAAGCATTTGTTTTTTTGTAGCATTTTTCAGATTAGCCACTATATGATACCAATATGACTTTCCCTCCCACCTTAATGGAATCCTATAAGTAAATAAAATAGCCTTTCTAAATCATTAAAGCCTAATAGAAAATTAGCAGGGTTATGATAGATGGCTTTTCCTTTGTGGTGAGCAGGCAGGATAGATCTAATAGTCTTGAGAGGCCTTATGACACATGAAATAGCATCTTCTTTCTCAAGGGAGGATGGTTGGAATTAAAGATGCATGGATTCTCTACTCTGCCTTGAAGCAATCAGACAGATGTTTGTAAGTATCAAGCGTAGGGACTATAAATCTTGGCACTCAACTATTCACCCGATAAAAATAGGGAAAAGTATCATTAAGAAATAGACCTATTCATGAAACAGTCTTAAGTCATATGGCGCCAAAGGGGAGAGAATAGTAGTAGTGATCAGAAGATATTGATAGTGATCAAAAGATATTGATGTTTTGTTTGGGGCCTAGGTTAATTGCCACTAGATGCACTTTCTTAATGGCATAATACACGGACGTCGGTTTGATGTTGGCCATTGAGTAAATAAGCTTAATTGAAGTCATATTCTTTTTCTATTACCCCATAAAATATAACTCTAAAATTTAACCACTTAAGACAACAAGCATTTATTATTGCACCAAGGTTCTGGGGGGATCAGAACTTGGAGATCAGCTTACCTGGATGGCTCTCACTCATTGACTCTCTTAGCTGGTCAGTTATAGTGAAGATGCCCGCTGGGGCTGCGATCAGCTGAGGGCTAGAGTTGGGCTGGGCGGTCTACTTTCTAGGCCTGGCAAGTTGGTGCTGGTGTCCATGGGAGTCCCTGGTTCTTTCTTCAGTTTCTCAGGTCTCAAAGCATTGAGAAGGTATCTCCTGAAATGAGGGAGCCAAGAGAAAAAAAGAGCAGATGCCCCCCGCCAAAAATTATGAATATCTAATCTCAGAAGTCATAAACCATAATGCCCACAGCGTTCCATTGTTCTCATGTTGTTGTGTCATTAGATGGCACCAAGTCAGTTTTGACTTGTAGAAACTCAATGTAGAACAGAATGAAATGCTGCCTGGTTCTGCACCGTCCTAAAGTCATCGCTGTGTTTCAGCTCATTATTGCAGCTACTGTATCGGTCCATCTCTCATTCAGGGTCTTCTTCTTTTACACTGACTCTAGTTTACCAAACATGATGTCCTTCTCCAAGTACTTACTAGCCCTCTTGATAACCTGTGCCAAATTCTGCCCAGCCTGGCTTGTACAGGTTTTCTGGCTTTACCGAGATATATGCTGGTTCTTCTGGAAATTCGTGGTATACTCAAGATGTGTCTACAACACCATCATTCAAGTGAGTCGGTTACTCTTCGGTCTTCCTGATTCACTGTCCAGCTTTCATATGAATATATATGAGGTGATTACAAATACCAAACCTTAGTCTTCAAAGTCTTTGGTTTTTAATGCTTCAAAGAGGCCTTTTGCAGTAGATATATTCAATTCAATGCATCCCTGATTTCTTGACTGGAGAGCCCCAGTGGTAACATGAGTTTTGCATGGGAGTTGCTACCATCAATGTTGGTGGCTCAAATCCACCAGCCGCTCTGCAAGAGAAAGATAATGTTCTCTGCTTTCCTAAAGATGTAGTTTTGGAAACCCTATGGAATAGTTCTTCTCTGTCCTAGAAGGCTGCTTTGAACAAGAATCAACTTGAAGGCCATGGTTTTGGGAGTGATTTGAAGACTGGAAGCACTTACTCAGAAAAAATGATTTACCTACTCAGTGTGGGAGGACACCACTAAGTAGGAGAATTCCAGGGGTGAAGATTGGGGGGACCATTTTGGAGGTGGATTTCCAGAGTAGAACAATTCTTCTCGATTGTTAATAAAACTGAGGAAATGTCACCTTAAAAAGAAAATGAAACCCTCCATCATAATATAATGGAAATGCCATGGAACTTCTCCTTGGACTATTTGAAGCCCCTTGTGCACTGTTTGAGGGCAAACTGTGTGCCAGTTATTTGTTCACATTCAGTAACAACATCCCTTCCTACATAGAGCTTATTCTGTATAACAGGTGCTTTTCATAATAAGTGATGGCTTCTGAGCCATGACTCCTAGTGTTTTCATCTTCCAAATAAAACTCACTGCCATCAAGTCAATACTGACTTATAGCAACCATAAAGATCAGTGATTTTCAACCTGTGGGTAGCAACCCCTTTCGGGGTCAAATGAAACTTTCACAGGGATGGCCCAATTCATAACAGTAGCAAAATGACAGCTTTTTATGGTTGGGGGGGGGGGGGCTGTCACCACAGCATGAGGAACTGTATTAAAGGGTCGCAGCATTAGGAAGGTTGAGAACCACTGGTATAGATCAAAGTAGAACTGCCCCTGTGGGTTTCTAAGGGTAGTAGAAAGCCTCATCTTTCTCTCAGGTGACATATGATGGGTTTGAACTGCTGGCCTTGCAGTTAGTAGCCATAACTGTTATGCCCTCTTAGGACCTCGCTAAAATTACTGTATATTTAAGAAGGCAAGTGAATTTAAGCTAAGGCATCAAGCCACTATCCCTTTCTAATAGTATATTTATAGTGATAAAAACATTTGATCACGTAACCCCAAAAAGTTAAGTGTGAATTTAAGGCTCAGAACTAGATAAGGTACAGTAAAGTAATTTCTCCACTAGACAAAAACATGAACATAGTATTAACCATAAATACATCACCTCAGGGTAGCCAGCAATGAGGTAGCTTGATTTACCATTTTATTTCAAAATTGACATATTGTGATCCTAATTTCCACAGATGTGATAAATATCACATAAATATTAGCTTTTTATTATTTTGGCATATATATATATATATATATATATATTAGAAATTTGCATACTCAATCATATGTACAAATGTAACCAGTGACATTGATTTTGTTCATCACATTGTACTACCATTATTTTCTCCCCTTTTCCAAAGTAACCCACGGGCATCAACAGAAACTCGGTACCCCTTCATCTGCCTTCCTCCTCCCCATGTAACCAACTCATAATCTTTGGTCTCTATACACGTGCCTACTTTGTATAAGTGAATGTATTCCTTTTGATATATGTTGACATACTAATCTAGTGTTTCAAGACTTCTGCCATTTATACCTGTAATTAACTTCTGAAACATCTTTCCTTTTAAAAATTTGAGTTATAGAACTGTTGGGGGCCAATAACTCTTTCCCCAGATGTCAGATTGGTCAGCTTTGAGGAAGGAAATGGAAACTAATGGCACTCATCAAGTTGATGACGTGCGTGATTTATAGGTCCATCGCTTAACGCGCTCATGAAGTCAATACCAGGGGAAGAAATGGGGTTCTGATTATGGTAAACTGTATTTGTGCTGTCAGTATTTTGTACTGGTGATTTACGACGCACCTGTGGCTAGGATTAGGCTATTATAAATGGCGGGAAAATGGAAGGCTCATTAATTGCTTTATGCCCACAGGTGGAAGACATGCAGTGGGCGAAGAGAGAGCACGTTCAGCCGGCTTCTGTCTGCAGCTTGCCGTGTAAACCAGGGGAGAGGAAGAAGAAGGTGAAAGGGGTCCCTTGCTGCTGGCATTGCGAGCGCTGCGAAGGTTACAACTACCAGGTGGACGAGCTCTCCTGTGAACTTTGCCCGTTGGACCAAAGACCCAACGTCAACCGCACCGGCTGCCAGCTTATCCCGATCATCAAGCTGGAGTGGCATTCCCCCTGGGCCGTGGTGCCTGTGTTCATTGCAATCTTGGGCATCATCGCCACCACCTTGGTGATCGTGACCTTCGTCCGCTATAACGACACACCTATTGTGAGAGCTTCCGGACGTGAGCTCAGCTACGTGCTGCTCACGGGGATTTTTCTCTGTTATTCGATCACCTTTTTAATGATTGCCGCGCCAGATACAGTCACCTGCTCCTTCCGACGGATCTTCCTGGGACTTGGCATGTGCTTCAGCTATGCAGCCCTGCTCACCAAAACCAACCGAATCCACCGAATATTTGAGCAGGGCAAGAAATCCGTCACAGCGCCCAAGTTCATTAGTCCAGCGTCCCAGCTGGTGATCACCTTCAGCCTCATCTCCATACAGCTCCTGGGGGTCTTTGTCTGGTTTGTGGTCGACCCCCCCCACATCATCATTGACTATGGAGAGCAGCGGACACTGGACCCGGAGCACGCTCGGGGAGTGCTCAAGTGTGACATTTCCGACCTCTCGCTCATTTGTTCCCTCGGGTACAGCATCCTCTTGATGGTCACTTGTACTGTGTATGCCATCAAAACAAGAGGTGTCCCAGAGACGTTCAACGAAGCCAAACCGATTGGATTTACCATGTACACCACCTGCATCATTTGGTTAGCTTTCATCCCCATCTTCTTTGGCACAGCCCAGTCAGCAGAAAAGGTAAGTGTCCAGAAATGCAGTTTTCCCCGTGGGCTTTCTTTGTTTTCGTCTGGATTGGACGTCTTCCTTTGGGATCTTTCCAAGTTTTCCTTGGGCTTATACATATTCTTTCAAGGCGCCTCGATCTGTGTTCTTTTGATTTAGAAATAGCTCTCAGAGGGTCACTTGACTTTGAATATGGGTTGGCCCCGGCTGAGAGTCCGTGAAAAACCCTCACATCTGCCCTCCATGGCAAGGGCGGAGATGGACAGAGCTCTCTGCGTCTTCCTTACTGGCTCTTTTAGATCTGCATATCACTGCTCCTCTCTAAATGCTAATGGAAAGAGGGTGGGAGAAAGCACAGACCTATAAGCTCTCCTGGAGATCTCCCCCAGTGCTCCTCCGGCAATGCCTCCTCGTCTGGTTCTCGCGGAGTCTAGGCAAAGGGCCACTGATTGATAAGCATGATGGTTTTTGTCAGCTGATGACACCAGAGAGAAACCAACAGGATTTAGTTCAATATGGATCATTTTAATGTCTCCAGCTTCTCTCTGAGGACTTTCCCATGTGTTGAGAATGATGGGCAAGGATGAAGGAAGCCAACACTGATTAGATATGTAAAGCTATTTATCAGTTGTGTGTGTGTGAGAAGAAGGCCAGAAAATCCATTGGCACGGGGATGATTCTGACACACACCACCCGTTCGGGCAGAGTAGAACTGCCCCTTGGGGTTGTCCAGGCTGTAAATCTTTATGGGAGCAGACGATCTCACTTTCCTCCCGTGCAGCAGCTGGTGGGCTCAAACTAATGACGGGCAGTAAGCCGCCCAGTGCACAACCTACTGAGGGAAGACTCTACGGAGGAATGCTAATCGTCCTTTGTCATAATTCTCCTCCCATCCATCTTTTCCACATGAAAACCAACAGCAACGCTGCCCTGTGCAGAACACCTGCATGGGAAAGAGAGGCGTGGCTGTATTGGCTGTGAGGAGCTCTCTGGATGTCCAGAGAAAACAGGTCACTGAATTCTGAGGTTTGGATAGTGGCTACCGATAGAAAGAAGCCGGCTTGAAGACTGGCAAGTCCTGCCTTCCTGTAAATGATAGCCCTCATGTAGGAAGGAAGAATTTCATCTTTCAAGTGAGAACTTGGGGCGGGGGGGCGGAGGGGAATTCTTCCATCCCTCACCAGTAGAAGCTTTGAAAGAAGCAAAGATCCTGGGGGGTATTTACATCTCCTTGGCCATAGCATTCCAAGCAATGTGCCGCATGAACTTAAAATTCCAGCTAATGCACAGAAAAAAGCCTTCAACAGGGAACAGAGAGCTCATTAGTATGGGCATCCATCCTTTACCGGATCAATGTGGCCCTCGCCCAGGTGTGGGCAGAAAAGGTATGTTCAGTACACTCGCTGCTGCTGAACACAAATTTGCAGTGGGTTCTCAGCCGTGACCTTTCCTGCTTGGGTGAAGTCATGGATATTTTACATAGGGCCAAAGGGGGGGCGAGGAAGGGAAGTCCGACAGTCTGTGGATCTGACTGCCAGGAATCCGGAAACATTGTATTTTGACATAGGCAGATGGGAACTTATAAGGATCAGTTGGTCCTTTAACTGATGGTCAGTTTAACTTAGGAATGAAATATGAACTTTGAGAAATGAGTTCTTCAAAGGCTATGGGGGTTATTTTGATCGAGTGAGCTGAACTACTCTGGACGAATCATGTTTTTCAGAATTTGGGATTGCTAGCATTCTGTGTATTATCAGTACATACATATGTATTTGGACCTAGGATTGCCTTTTGCATGTATTGCTTGATCCCGCGAGGACCATAAACATTCATTTTCTTGCTTTTCGGTAGACAATAAATATTTGAACCAAGGAAACTCTCCTTAACTCTGACACCTGACTTCTTCTTCCGCCTTCTTCACACCTTTTAAAATGGATCTCCATTCTTACTTTTCATCTGACAGCCTCGAAGAGTGAGGGTAACAAATTAAATGGTATTTAGTTACTTCCTTCAGTAACTCCATACTTAGAATAAATGACAGTGGGGCTCCATCAGGCTATGGAACATCATCATAGACCCTCAGGCATGCCTACTGTTAATATAAAGACGTATGTATGAGAATCTAAGACCGTTACCAATGTATATGTGCTTGGGTGTAGCTATATTGTGTCTACAGATGTATGATTCAATATGGCTAGACAAAATTTCTTTTTGGTTTTTAGTGTGGAATCAAAGTAAGTCAAAGAAGAAAATTGTAAGAGAAATTTTGAAGTGCTCATTGGGATTTATCCTGCAGTTGTAGTATGATTGAGAGTGGAAGAGATGGAAGAAATCATTAAGAAACATGAATTCCAGGAATTTTCAAAGACATTGTAATGAAAACTAAACCAAATCATTCCAACTTACAGTGACCGTTTAGGGCAGAGGCGACCTGCCCCCTAGTGTCTTCAAGACTGTAAATCTTGATAGAAGCAGAATTCTCCATCTCTCTCTGGCAGAGCAGCGGGTGAGTTTGAACTGCGGATCCCTTGCTTAGTAGCAGAGTGCATAAAAATGGCTCCTTCAGAGGCATTGTAAGACCTACCTATTGCCACTGTGTTAAATCCAACTCATAGTTTTCTTATATAGGATTTCCGAGGCTGTAAGTATTTATAGGAGCAACAGCCTCAATTTAAGCTAGTTGTGTTAGTCTGGGTACTTTAAAGAAACAAATCCACAGAAACTCATGTATAAGAGAGAGTTTTATATAAAGGGTAAGTGCACATCAAGAAAACATCCCAAGCCAGTGCTGCCAACATTAACCCATATGTCTGACACCAATCCAAAAAGTCTTCCTCCATCTCATAAAACACATGCAATGATGCTGACTGCAGGAGGAAAGCCGAGTCAGTGAATGTGTAAGCATCTCAGCGCTGGAAGTGTCTCCACACACCTGCTCCAGCACCCAGGCCTGCATCGGGGCAGGTCCATGTGGCTTCTCCTCAGGGATGTCTTCCAGGAAATTAACCTTGCAAGCTGAAGCAGGGAACTGCTAAGGCAGCGGCACCCTGGTCTGACCATCAGAAAGCAAGAGACCTGAGAACTAGAAAGGTGAGGCTCACTGAGCCATTTATCCCTCTGCCCTTCAATGAACCTCATATGTGCTTATCGGCTAGGTTGGCACAATAAACTAACTCACTAGTCTTGGCATTACTGAACGTTATACATATCTAATGCTTTACTACTGAATACTTTATATAGTAAAGTTATGATGTTTCTCTCCTTAAAGTATTATTTTGAATACAATATTATTCAAAACAACACACACAATGTTTGAGAATATCTTCTTTTGCTTTCTGCGTCTCCCACATTGTTAAAAATAATCAACACTCACTGACAATCATTTTAAAACCTATATCATCTTTTCTTTTCTATCCCTAAAAGGAAAGAACCCCGGCGGTGCTATGGGATACGCAGTGGGCTGGTCACCACAGGGTCAGGGGTTCAAACCCACCAGCTACTCTGCAGGAGAAAGACAAGGCTCTCTGCTCCTATAAAGATTTACAGTCTCGCAAACTAGGACTGCTATGAGTTGGACTGGGTGGCAGTGGGTTTGGGCTTTTAATTGGTTGCCCATTTTGTTCGCTTTTTATCTCTAAAAGGAAGCTTGAACTAAATTTTATTAGAACTGGTCAGTCCTGTTCTTATTTATATTGTTGAGCCAATTAGCCCTGCATTATCAAGTGATGGGGTTGCCACGGCTAGACAACACACATCCATTAATTCAGCAGATCCTTATTGAGCGCTGACTCCTATGTGTCCAGAATTGTGCTAATTATGGAGTCCACAGACCTTCCCTGTGAGGCTCAGTTTGGCTTCCAGCCAGGGTTGCCTGACTCCTGCCAGTGCCGGGCGGGTTTCATCAAGCTCAAGGGCAAGGGAGGACAGTGAGAGGCTAGAGCTGCTCAGGGGAGACAGCAGAGCTCTATATACGCTATAAACAATACGTTAGCAATGCCGATTCTAGAACCAGACTGAATGGCAAAGGTTCTTCCAGCATGGACCTGATTATTGCCATTCTGGAGTGCTACCTGTTGCAAAAGACTTACCTTACCACTCCGGTTTCTCTAAAACTAAAAGAGACGTAGGGAACAATTGCAAAATTAGTGGCCTAATTGATCCAGCTGCTTTGGAAAACCTGGGTGAAACAAAGTTGTAAAGGGATACTCACTCCAGAGCCATACTGCAGACCACTCTCTCAAGCCTATCTTTTTCCAGGGCTGCTGTCTCACAGGGCCTGGCATAAGTCTGCTGAGAAGACAGAAATATTAACATATAATTAACTTAATGGTCAGAGAAAGAAATTGTGGCCTGCGAGGCTGGCAGAAATCTCAGAAACACATATTTTACCATCTCTAATTGGACTTAGTAAGTCAAGAGGCTCAGACAAAGGTTAGGACCCTGCCAGGCTCTTGGAAGCAGAGTGCGGTAGCCAGAGCATCAAGTAGAAACAACACAACAAAACACATTCAAATGGAAAAGACCATCTGAAAGTGCCCCAAGCCCCTTGTCTCTGAACCACCTCTCTTTCTTCGTCCTCTCTGGAGGAGTGGACCCTGAGAGTCACCTGAGACTCCTCTGTGGCCGTTACATCATCTCCTGTTAACTTGAGGAAGGGGTGGAGTCTAGCCTGTCAATCAGGTCACAGCTTGATAACCTCATTTGGAGGCATGACAGAGACAAGTAGCTCACTGGTGGCCAGATAGGCTCTCTCGCTGCTTTGTCTCCCTGTTGACAAGCCACCTAGAGCTACACTGATGGAGACAGAGCCCTGGAGTTGGAGGAGCCACATAGAGACCCCTGCTAGTGCTGAGCTGGTTCCACCACCACTGGATCCATAAGACTTTCCACCCACCAGCCTATGATGTTCCATTACTCAGTGTGATTGCATGTGCTGCATGAGTCTGAAGAAGAATTTATAGACTGGTATAGGACATATGGGGTAATATCGGACCTATGGACTTGATATGGACTGG